TTCCTCCTTTTTTTTTTTTTTTTTTCCTTCTCTTGCACTGAAGAATTACCTGAGTACGTGTGCTGGTGGTCTCTGAAGAAAGGTGGCTGTTGGAGTGGGGTTTGGGTGTTGCTTCAGAAATCTGTGAGGCTGCGACTGTGAAGCGTAAGGAGTTTTGTTCGCAGTTTACCTGATGGTGTGCAGCGTTACAGCTGTTCAGAGAGCCCCCGTTGCAGGGGTGTCTGGCTTCGTTCAGAGGGGTGGAAGGGCTACATTGGTGATAGTGCTCAGACACAGAAAATACTATGGTTTGGGTCCAGGGAAGGGGAAGACACAGGGAGCTGGTTCCTCTCCCAAACGGCCTGCATCAGTCACACCTCATAGAAAATTTGTCTTTGGGATCTGCAACGTTTTTGTTTTAAGACCCTCCCTTGTCTTAGTCAGTCTCTTCTGATAAAGATACCTAGCTCCGATCTAGCACTTGTCATTAGTAAATCATGAAGCAGTTGCCACGGGAGTCCTGTATAGTGCATGAATGCGTGAGGAAACCTGCCTTCCCAAATGCGTGTAGATGATTAATATTGGTGTGTCTTCAACAGCGCATCTTCCCATGTTCCACTTCTTTCCCAGTTTGTCTGGTAGAAAACTGATTTGTCAGATCTTTTTACCACATCTGAAAGGCAAACTCCCTTTGGAATGTAAATAACAAGTATAAAGAGAAAACCTCTTTGTAGATGTTCTTGGAGAAGTTTTAATGCTGCTTCCTCTTCAAAACACTGTACCTTTTTTTTCCCAAGTAACCATGTTTTTGCTTTGTCTTTTATGTTTAAAGAGTAGCAGTCTTTAGAAGGATATTGAGGCAGAGAAGTGTCCTGTAATTGTTGTATCAGCTGCATGTACCCTGCCAGGGTAGTGGTGCTCTGGGGTGTTGGCCGCAGTCCCTCGCTGTGTCCTGACTGCGTCAGGAGGAAATCTGGGTTTGCTCCATTCCTCCTTGGTGCTGAGTGTCCGGTCTGTGTTCTCCAGCAGATAGCTTGGACTGAATCGATGGGGAAGCCAGGACTGCTGGGATTGTTTGCCTTTCAATGTAAATAACATTACGTAACATAACCCAGTAAAGAGTGCTGCTGTGGAGAGAAGAAACATTCCTTGTAGGACAGAGAGCAACCCAAGTGTGAACCATTCTTGAGGTGCAAAGAGCTGTCTAGCAATGGTCTTTCTCCCCCCCCTTCTCATATGCATGAAAAACTGTGGTTGAGTTCCTTGTGTCATGCTACAAGGATCAGCAAAGATTTTTCCTGGAGCTTGGTTAATTGTGTCTACTTGGGTACTTAAACAGCAATGCATGCAAAAATTTGCAGATCCACTTACAATCTCTTCATAGTAGAGGGTCTCTGTAATGCAGCAGGAATTTTTATAACCCTTTGTAAGTGTTTTCAGTGATTAAAAAAAAATCTCCATTTGCTTATTATAATATAAGGCATCTCCATTTTCAAGTGGAAGATACAGTGACACAGAAATAAAGTGACCTGCCTGAGGGCATGCAGTAAGTCTGATCAGAAAGGCAAGGTTATAATTCAGAAATTCAGAAGGTTGTTGGTTTTTTTTTTTTTCCTCATTATTGCTAGCAGATCACATTGCCATTGAATATAACTTTTTCCTCAGCACCACTGTTCTTCCTCCCCACTTCTTTCCCAACTCCAAAACAGTTATCTTCAGATCGTATTGCTTCCATGAATTTTTGGGTACTAGAAATTGTACACGCAACACAGCAGTGCTGAGCTCAGAAATTTTAAAGGTAAGGAAAACATGATACAAGGAGCTTGTTTAAAAAAAACAAAACAAAACAAACCCAACAGAATTTCTGTTTGTTTGCATCAATGCTGGAATTAGACCCGATGCTGGGTAAATAGAAGCCACTTCTGACTAGCACTCTGGGTTACCATCTAGTCTGTCTTCTCTGTTACAATTGCAAGATCACAACCACGTGTTATAGTAATTTACAGGAGATGACTATATACGTGTGAGATACTGTTTTGATTAATATATCTCTGAATTCTTACATTTTTTTCATTAGAAGTTTAATCTGCTGAAAGTAATGTTTTCTAGTCTAGACCTCTGTGTTCTCTCTTTCTTCCACAAGTCAAACTCCCATTGACTGCAGAGGAAGCTGCATCCTACTGTATCTTGAGAATTATACTCTTCAGCTGCAATGTTATGTTTCTTTTACATTTAAAAGTTGCTGTAAAACAATTACTTAGAAATATGTATTTGTAATGTGCCTTTTAAATTCTTTTTCTGTTATCTTTCTGTGCAGTTTCCCTGACTCTTAATTCCACTATGAAACAGCT